AATTAAATTTCCTTACCCCTTTGCAGATTCAGGTGATGAAACTTTATCAGCCTCTCTTAACCCAGAAAATGTTGAGCTTCAAGATGATGAGATCTCCTCCATCCAACCTTCTCAGCCTGCAGCAACTGAATCAGCCATCAAACCTGATATTCCTCCAGCCCCTCCAGTTGTAGGCAAGGTAAATCATATCGGCTGTATTATTAGAATACTTGGCCAAAATCGATACTTAACTCTCAGCCACTACTATCATCAGCCGAGACAATGTTTAACAAAACTTCCTTTTTCAGGGAAAAAGGAAGAAATCAACTGCCCATGGGACTTTAAAGAGGACAAAACTCAGCAAGGGTAGGAAACAAAAAATTGAAGAAGATCCTGAAAGTCCTCAGCCTACAGAAGACGTGGCTGATGATCCCATAATTGATCTGGCCGATGACCCCATCATCAATATGGCTGATGATCATTCTGATCATTCCTCGAATGAAAAGGAGATAATGATAACTTTATCTATAAAAAAAAAAAAAAAAAAATTTCAAATCTTCATCCCTTTTGATAATTATCAATAGTCTTTCTCTTGCAGCAATCTCCTCTTCTTAACCTGGTTTATAGCCCAGTTAGGAACTTCAGTCCTTTAAAGGATTTTCATGATCCCACTGAGGTGCCCTTCAATGTTCAAGCCACTCCTGCCAAAGCTTCATCCCAAGGAAACAGTACAGCTATTCAGCCAGAATTTCCTCCACCAGTGACCAGTCATCAGCCACTTTTGATCACAGACACTGCCGAATCATCTAAGGTATTGACTACCTCATAATTTTTTGTCATACTCCAAAATTTTGGGATCTAACCCCCCCTCTTTTCTTTTATTTCAGTAGGTTATGCATGAAGAGACACAAATTATCCCTTCATTTCCTCCACCAAAAGTTCATACTTCATCACTACTAGCCCTGAGCAATTTCTTCAAAGATGTGGTAGCTTTAGTGACTGAAGAAAAAGAAAGTGAGTCTTCTGAAGCAACTCCAGTCATTTCAGCCAGTGTTCCAACACAAACCATAGAGGAAACCAAAAGAGCTTTGGCTGAAATCTTTAAAAGAGATGCTGCTTATCTTCCTGAATTTGAGAGTGAGCTCACAACTGTGCTTACTACGCTCAGACAGTATCCAGACTTCCCAGTCGACCTGCAAGCCACCATAGCTACCTTTAAAGGCCAACTGCCAGCTTTGGCTGATGAAATTTTTCAGGCCAATGAATCAATCAATCAGTTCAATAAAAGCAAGAGCAGGAAAGATACTCTCGGCAATCAATTGTTGACTCAAGCTTCTACCTTTGACTGAGTGAATACAGAGTTCATCAGCCTTGAGGAAAGAGAAAAAGTCCTCCAAAAAAAGATTGACCAAATTCATGCTCATAAGGCCATCTTATCTGCCGAGGTTGCCACATTGCAGTTTGAAGCACAAGACCTTGCTCACGAGCATGCAAATCTTCGTGAAGAATTACCTAAGTTAGAAGAATCAAAGAGGCAAGCCATAGTTGCTTTCAATCGGTCCTTGGTGATTTGGGCCGATTTCAAGAAGAAATTTGCAAATATGTGAACCTTTTATTTCAACGGGACCCTTTTTGTAGCCATTTTAGTGTATGTACTCAGATGATGCAATCTTTATACACTTTAATAAATAAATGGCCTTTTTTGCTGCTTTAAACAATCATCAACACTTCAACAATAATTTTTGTAATACCCTTAATTTTTAAAGGATATTCCTGGAATTTATTTTATTATTTGGTTGCATTTTATTTAATTATTTGTTTAATTGTGTTAATTAGAATTTGAATTATTTGTTAATTGTTTTGTTTTGTTTGTTTTATTTAATGATTTTAATTGTTGTATTTTGATTGTTTGTTTAATTATTTTTTATTTGTTTTGTGTTAGTTTGGTTGGTTTTTTTTTTAGTTAATTATTTTTGTTTAATTATTTCAATTTCATGGGTTATTTTAATTGGATTAAGTTTAAGGTTTTATTTATTTCATTAGGTTATAGTGTTAATTGTATAATGGAGTTCGTATGTAACCGACACTGTTTTAAGACGTAGGTTTTGTTATGGGCCAACGGGGATTATAATTAGGGCTCTGTCTCTACACGTACAGGCAATAGGGTTTATTTTTACGTCGCTTTATATATATAGAATAATGTGTGGATTTAGGGTTTCTAGAATACAAAAGCTCTGTCATGTACCAAAGATACAGAGGGAGAAACAGAAAGCAATTGTGAGAGAAACAGAGCAAGGCTTGAGGGGAATTTTACAGAGAGGATCAAGGAGGTTGAGTAAGGATTAGAGACGGAGTTATAGGAGGCTAGACAGTGTTGCAGTAATTGCCGGAAAACTTAAAGACGACGCCGAGATTTCATAACTGAAATCACAAGCAAGTTCTTCTCTTTCTCCTTCTCTTTGGCTCGTGTTCTGTGCACCTAGATAATCTCTAGGGTTTAATCAATCAATAACTGGAAGATATATGTTTAATATTTTTCATGTGAATGATCTGTTTATGTTGAAAATCAATCTGTTACAGTTCATGCATGTCTCGTTTCAGTTTTCTGTACTTTAAGCATGTTGTTCTGTTGTAACTTTAGTCTTTGGAATTGTTTTTAATCTCTGTAAATGAACCATGGGGATGTTATTGGGATTGATATAAGATCCTTAGGTTCAGTGGTAAAGAGGAACAGAGGGTTTGGAAGAGAACTGAAATTTTCTTAAATTAGTTTTCAGTGTTGTTCTTCAAGCATACTAGTTTGATGGCTTCGTTTAATCTCTGTAATTGGTTTCAAATTATTGTAATAAAATCTTGGGGATGATACTAGGCTTAAATAAGACTCTTAAATTAGTTTTAAAACCAAACAGAAAGATTGCAACTGGCCGGAGTTGGAGGAAGCTCGCAAGGGGAGAGAGAGCCGGCTCTGGAATGCCAAGAGCTAGCTCCCACCTATTTAGAGCTGGCTCCAAGGTGGTGGTAGAGCCAGCTCTATGCTGATTTGGAGCCTGCTCTATTTTTCTAGAGCAGGCTCTTTCATTTTTGATGCGTACAGTGTTTTTTGGCTACTGTTTGGGCACTTGTGGTTCTTGAACAGTTTTAAAATTTTAATGGGCTTTTTAATAAATAATTTATGATGTAATAAAGGTCTTGAATTGCATCAAATACCCTCTTGGTATTAGTGGAATTAACAGTGCGCTATTTATCAACTTTGCGTACGGTTAACAGCTGGAAGGAAATTTATTGTCTAATTTTGATTTGACAATTTAAGGGGCTATAATATGAATCTAAATTAAATTTTAGATGTATGATGAAGTCTTTTATTTAATAATTTGGACTTGTGGCATAGTGTGTGGCTCGGTGCTAAAGGATAAAACAAAAGATAAGTATACAACTTAGTACGCTATTACCGGATGGAAGGAACTAAATCGCTTAAATTAATTTAGCGATTTATTGGACTATAATATTATTATAGAACTGATTTTAAAAACATGATAGGGTCATTGTTATATCAAATTTGAACTATGCATGTTTTGGATGTTAATTGTTAGAATATTAAATTATTCAATGCAGTTACATGGATTAATACTGGATTTTAATTGCTAGATTGTTAATTTTCCTTTTGCAATTATTTGGTTATTAGTTTTGGATTGTAAATTACTAAAATGTTATATATATGATGTAATTTACAAGGATATGGAGGATTGTATGCACCGGTATGGGACGGTGACATACTAGGGACGGTTTAGCTCAAAACGCCTAAACCTAACCTAACGGATTAAAGGAATGGGTTTATAAATATTGAATCCTAATTTTGTTTAAGTCATATCAACTGCAACTAAGTTGAGTGGCTTCCTGGATTAATGGATTGTAGTTAAGTTATATCAACTGAATAAGTTGAGTGACTAACTAGTTAGTTTATTGTAGGTCAGTTTAATAAATAGTTAAACTACATACCCTGGATTTGGACGGACTTTATATATATGTTTATGGTACCACGAGTTGAGCTTAAGTCTCAGACTTGTTGGTTAGGGTGCGTATATGCAGTGGATGCGTAGCTGGTTATAATAGGTTGAGGTGTACCCTGTTAAGTCTAGGTACGCATGCCCACCTTTGGGTGCGTATTCGCATGTTGCCTTCTATTCAGGTTGAGACCCCTATTATAGACCAGTGAATGTCCCTTAGTGTGGATATATTTATATGTAAGGACTAGATAGTTATTGTGAGGTGTCTACGGTGTATCTGCGTATCGGGTCACTGTATGGATTGCAGTTAGATTAGAACTTGCTCGTGGGTCTGACCCACTCCTTTATTATTCTTTTTAGGTATTGGACGGTTCTAGTCTCAAGCTTGATCGTGCTAAGCAGAGACTCTCATTTATTCCACCGACAACGTAGGATTTCACTTCACGCTTAGTCTTGGATTATTTTTACTTTCAGTTTCAGTTGGAGTTTTTCAGGGTCCACTAGTTGGATTCCCAAGTTGTAAACTTGGAGGTATTGGAAGGATTGGAGGATTTTATATTTTTCTTATGGTTCTTTATTTAAATTCTTAATTTTTCTTATTCTGCGTTCGCTTTAAAATACTTCAATTGTTTGATATTCCCTCGTGTTTGGGCCTGGGCCTGATCAACCCGTGTCTCGAATCCGAGGGGTATCACAATTTTCCTTTTTATTAAAATTTTAACAACTATATCAGCCTATAAATAGGCCAAATTTTAATACACATGGTCAACCAAAGGTACTAACTAACTCTAATTTTCTCTTTCAAAGATCGTTGGCACATACCTCTTAAGGTATTTGCCATTAATAGGGTAATCATGCAATCGGCCACCAAGATACTTCAGCCTGTATGCTCCTTCACTTAGGACTTGATGAATTAGATATGGCCCTTCCCATTTATGAGACCACTTTCCATATTTTCTATCAACCTTACTTACTGGCAAAATGACTTACCAAACTAAATCTTCTTCAGCAAAAAACTTAGGTTTTACCCTTTTTATTGTAGATCCTCATTACCTTTCTTTTGTGAGCTATGATATGATCCAAAGCATCCAGCTTAACTTCATCCAACTCTTCCAACTCTGTCAACATTGCTTGAGTATAATCGGCCAAAGTTAAATTATTTTGGAATGCAACCCTGGCCGATCTAACCTTCATTTCCATAGGCAGAACAGTATCATGGCCATAAGTCAACATATATGGTGTAACCCCTATGCCTGTTCTCTTTGAATTTCTATAGGCCCATAGAGCCTCAGATAAAGTCTTATGCCATCTTTTTGGTTTATCTTTGATCATTTTTTCAATGATCTCTATCAAAATTTTGTTTGAGGACTCGGCCTGACCATTTGCTTGAGCATAGTATGGTGTAGAGGCTGACATATGAATGTTCATATTATGGCCGAATTGTAGCACATCAACTGCCCTGAACACTGTTGCATTGTCTGAAACAAATGTTTCTGGAATTCCAAATCTATGGACAATATGTTGTTCCATGAAGTTAATCACTGTTTGTTGATCAACCGTTTTGCAAGCTTTAGCCTCAACCCAGTTAGTAAAGTAATCCGTGGCAACAATCACCCAGTGATGGCCTTCACTTGATGGTGGATTGACTTTACCTATAAGGTCAAGGCCCCAACCTCTGAACTGCCATAATTTGATTATTGGCTGTAATTCTTTTACTGGTACATTTTGAATCGGCCCATGTGTTTGACAGGCCTGACACCCTTTTACATAATCTATTCAATCATTTCTCATCCTTGGCCAATAATATCCATACCTTTGAATCAGCCATCTTATCTTTATCCCAGCTTGGTGGGCTCCATAGCTGCCTTCATTCACCTCGGCCATAACCTAAAATGACTCTTCTTTACTTATGCATTGTAGGAAAAGTCTATCCTCAAGACCTTTTCTGTATAAATCCCCATCAAGAAGTAGAAAGTTGATTGCTCTTCTCTTGATACTTCTATCAGCCTTGATGTTTGGATTTCGGAGAAACATTATGAATGGTATCCTCCAATCATCATTGGCCAGATCTTCTATATCAATTACCCAGGAATCGGCCAACATAGTATTTCTTAATGCAACCGAATGTAATGACCTTCGTGTGACTTTTATCAACTGATCCTCCATTCTAATTGGTACTTTGATTCCAGATGCTGCTTGGGCCATGTTATTAGCCTCCTTATTCTGTCCTCTCGGCCAAAACTTAAGTTGAACAGTATTAAATTGATTCAACAATGAAGTGGCCAGAGAATGAAACGGCCTTAATTACCAACTTAAACATTTGAAATCTTTAGTAATTTGACTTAGTACCAAGTTTGAATCTCCTAAAATCATAACATCCCCAGCAGCCATTTCAATTAGAATTTCCAGGCCGATTATAAGTACTTCATATTCAGCCTGATTATTTGAACATTTAAAATCTAAAAAGAATGAAAATGAAGTCTTTCTCCCGGCTGGTGAAATGATAACAATACCTGCCCCTGCTCCATCGGCCCTGCTTGATCCATTAAACATCAATATCCAAGGAGTTAATAATACGGCTGATGATTCTAATTCATCAAATACCTATGGATCAATATCAATTGAAAGATGATCGGCCAAGAAATCAGCCAGAACCCTTCCTTTAACTAATTTTTGTGGGACAAAAATAAAATTAAATTCCATCAAGGCCAATGCCCACTTACCTATTCGGCCAGTGATCAATGGCCTTGATAGCATATATTTAATCACGTTAGTTTGACAAAGAATGTAAACATCAACCGGCCGCATATATATTCTTAATTTCATGGCTGAATAATACAAAGATAAACAAAGTTTCTCAATTGAAGAATATCTGCACTCAACATCAGTTAGTACTCTGCTTAAATAGTAAACAGCCTGTTCCTTCCCTAATTCATTATTCTGGGCAAGCATACTACCAATTGATTCTTTCGCGGCCATTAATTAAAGCTTCAACGGCCATTTCTTCCTTGGAGGCATTACTACCAGGGGGTTTGCCAAATACTTTTTTATTTTGTTAAAAGCCTTCTGATGGGATTCGTCCCAATGAAATTTCTCATGTGACTTCAATTTTAATAAAGGAGAAAAAGCATGTACTCGGCCAGCATGATTAGAAATAAACCTTCTAAGAAAACCTACCTGGCCGAGAAACCTTTGCACCTGTTTTTTGTTGGTTGGAGCCATAGCATTCATAATAGCTTTGGCCTTATTCTGGTCAACTTCTATGCCTCGTTTGTGTACCAAAAATCCTAAGAAATTCCCGGCTGATACCCAGAAAGCACACTTTAATGGGTTTATTTTCAACTTATGGACTCTCATCCTTTTAAAAGCCTTTTTTAGGTGTTCCAAATGCTGTTTTTTGGCCGATGACTTCACAACTACATCATCTATGTAAACTTCCATAAATCGGACAATCATATCATGGAAGATTGAATTCATTGCCCTTTGATAAGTAGCCCCTGCATTCTTCAGGCCGAATGGCATCACAACCCATTCAAAAGTGCCAATTGACCCAGGACATCTAAAAGTCGTTTTGTGAATATCCTCCTCGGCTATATAGATTTGATTATAACCTGAATAGCCGTCCATAAAAGACAGTATTTCATGCTTAGCAACCGAATCAATAAGTTGATCGGCCATTGGCATTGGATATTCATCTTTTGGAGTGGCAATATTTAAATTACGAAAATCCACACAAATCCTAAGTTTGCCATTTTTCTTTATTACTAGAACAACATTAGCCAACCATTCCACATACCTAACTGTTCGAATAAATCCTGCCTTAAGAAGTCTTTCAATTTTTTCCTTAATTTTGAGCATCACTTCCAAGGACATCCTCCTTGATGGTTGTTTATAAGGCTGAAAATCTTTCTTGATAGGTAATCTGTGTTCTACCAACTCCCTTGATAGGCCAGGCATCTCTTTGTAACTCCAAGCAAAGCAATCCTTATATTCCTTTAGTAACTTGATCAAATCGGCCTGAAAATTAGGCTCAAGCAAAGCACTAACAAATAATGGCCGATGATCTTTTTCAGTACCAACATTAATTTCTAATAAGGGATCCTCCACTTCTGCTTTATTATCTTCCATCCTGGAAGGGGCTGACTCCAGATCTTCAATTTGGATAGCATCCAATTTTTCGAAACCTTCTTGAACTATATTGGCCGTGCTGGCCGATACCTCTTCATATAACAGTTCTTCTTTGGCCAATCTCTTTTCAGCCAAATATGCTTTCAGTCTTATACAAGCGGCCCTGAAAGCTTGCCGCTTCATTTCTTCTTTAGTCGTGTGATCCATCAGAAACATCTTCAATTTCTTTGATGGTCGACCTGAAAATATCAATTTTCGGCCAAGCTACTTCTGTCATTAACTCTTCAATATCAGTATTAATCAAGTTCTTCTTCATTGTTGCTGCTACTGGTCGACCCATCCTGTTGATGCCTACAAACTTGATAGGTACAACAGTTTCGTCATAAAGTGCAGCTTCGGCCGAATACACCCTGGCTATAAAGGGTTTGTTATCGGCCTCAACAGTTTTTACTTCATTTCCATCCCAAAAAATCAACATTTGGTGCAATGTTGATAAGATACACATATTAAGGTGAATCCAATCTCGGCATAAAAAGATATTATAGGCCGCAGTTGAATCAATGATAAAGAAGGTTATGAAAGATGTTTTGCCACCAATAGTAATTTCCAAAGGTAGAATGCCTTTGGTATTACTAGATCCCCCATTAAAACCACTGATGGCCACATCGGTTGGAACTACATCATCCATGGTTTTACCCAATTTCTTCAAAGTAGTTGCTGGAATGACATTTACCACCGAACCATTGTCGACCAACACCCTATTAATTGGCTGACCTTCAACCCACACTTTAACATACAACGGCCTCAGCTGCTGTGCCATGGCCATAGGTGGTTTCTCAAAGATGATTTTATTGGCCTCAGTTGGTTGGCCTTAAGAGACCAATCCTACCACGGCCGATGAATTCTTCGAGTCATTCTTGATCTCTAATGATTCAGCCTCCTCTTCAAGTTTGGCTGATTTGACATCCCTGTTCACCATTGGCTCTGCCCATGCTTCAAAAATAGAAGGTAAAACAAAAACCATGTTACAATTTACCTTATCCGGAAGGGAGCCAAAATGAATCATGTACTTGGCTGCATGCTTTGGGTCTTGATCTTCATGATCGTCTTTCTCCTTGTAAAAGGATGCCTCATTTCCAAATAATATAGCAACCTCCATGTCTTCAGCCACCCCTGGTTCATCTTCCTTGGCTGGTTGAACCTGGTTGATTTTATTCTCTTTTCTTCTAAGTTCTGCATTTTTCCTTTGCATCCTCCTTTTTTAAGTATGTGTAGGAGGCTGCTTAGGAAACTTCGGATGATTCACTCGAGTCCATCTGCCATGGTCAACCAAGGAAGGTCTGACCGTTCTTACACGGCTAGATTCTTTTCCCTTTTGAACCCATATTTCTGACTGAATTACTGGTTTCCTTTTGAAGCTAGGATAAGAATATTGGTCTGGCAGAACTTTATCGGCCACAGATGACCGAATGATTCTTACTGCCCTCGGCCCATTTTCTCTGAATATTGGCCGATTGATTTCTTTATGATTCTGTCTGGGCTGAAATCCCAACCTCTCATGAACACTGCGCTTCCTGGTAAATTGAAAATAGCTCTTCTTATCTTGACTACTCCCATGGCCTTTACAATTTGGGCAGCAGCCGTGGTTGATGAGAGCAATTTGAGCCTCTCTCAACTGATTCTCCAAATCCTTTACCGTCTGTTCATCATTGCTGGCCGATGACGAACTATCCAGAAGTTTTGGTGATCTTTCTTGCTTATCATTATCAGTGGCTTTTTCAAGTGCCAGGCTGATTACATTGGCATTCACAATATTAGGAAATGGATCACCATCAACCCCCATCACATCTGGCTTCTTTTCAGGAAATTTCAATACGCCCTCATTAATTGCTTTCTGTAATACAATTCTAAATACATAACAATTGTTAGTAGTATGATTCCATGAATTATGAAATTTGTAGAACTCTTTTCCTTTGGATTCTGTGGCTGATGGTATATTGTGTCTTTTTGGCAAAACAATTTGTTTGTCGGCCAACAAATGATCAAAAATTTGTTTTATCTTGGCCAAGTCAAACGTATAAACCTTACCAGTATCAGTCATACCCTTCCTAGCCGATGATGTTGATGGCTGAGTACCACTGGTAGATGCCTTCGGTTTTGTCAAAGTCTCACATACATAAGGCTTCTTGATGATAATTTCAGTAAGATTAGCATCAAGATCTTCTTCTTCAACCAAATCAGTTGAAAAAACTTCATAATTGGGATCCCTATAGTACGTACCTTTCAAGGAATTTTTTTGTACCTTTTCTTCCTTGAGAACCAACTCATACCTAGTAGCTTTCTCAGCCAGGTCATATATGTCACGGAATGGGACTCATTCAAACCTCTTCCGAAGTTCAAAATCAAGGTTGTTCAAAACTAAACGGATGTACTCCTGCTCTGGAAGAGGTACACGGCATCTTAACCTTGCAATGAATGTCTCGACCGATTCACTAGGCAATTGGCTCAACCTAGATAAATCGGCCAGAGTTGGTTCCGTCTCGGTTTGATAGAACTGATTGTGAAATAACTCCTCCATCTGTGGCCAGTTAAAAACAGAGTTAGGCGGTAAACGTATATACCATGAAAAAGCTGCCCCTATCAATAAGTTAAGAAAAAGTCTTAATTTTAACCAAGGGCTCACACTGGCCTCCTCACATT